CACTGGCTGCCTTGCAGTGCTGGCACTGACAGGCCCCCAGACGCCGCAGTACAACAGACTTCTTGGGTTGACAGCCCTGATGGGGACGAGCTCATTTGCTGCCTTTAAAAACAAATTACTTAAATGTAGATGTACCGGAGTAACAGATAGCCGCTGCCACGGCTGGCCCCGCTCAGAGCCCTGCCAGATACCGCAGTCCTGCTTCCCCAAGGCACGCCGTATCTCCAGGCGTCTGTTGTTCCATTAATCTATTTTTAGTAACTATATCCCCCTTAGTTCAGCTGCAGTTATCTGATTAGTTCCTGTAACTATACCAGGAGCAACATCTCCAGGCGTGACTGCGATTTCTGAGCAGACTGTGTCTCTGCACACACGTTTTCTAAAAGAGAGAAACTTGCTGAAGATGCTTCCCCCTGCGGCGCTCGCGGACACGGTGCTCTGAGCGCCAGCGCTGCACGGGGCTGAGTTTTGGGGGCCGGGGGCAGAGGGGATCAGCGCTGCTGCAGGCGCTGGAGCACATGACCTTTGATAAAGGCAGAATTAACCAGGCACACTTCCCCGCTGCCACCCGTGATAAGGGGCCACCCTCCTTTGGTGTTGCCCTGATGCAGCGGTGCTAAGCAGCTGGCTTTGTTTGCTCCTGAACACGAGGCAGTTGACGGAGATTTCCATCCTCATCATCGACCGTGGCTGAGAGAGGGGAAAGGTCCCCGTGCGTCAGTGCTCACAGCCTGCCAGAGGTGTGCCCCAAAGGCGCGGGGTGACGGAGCTGCGTACTCCCTTCCACCAGGCAGGTAGCGCCGGGGAAAAGCTCTGCCACAGCCCTGTCGCTGCACAAGGACTAGTTAAAAACCCCGCACACCCACAGATGGCTCCAGCATCGCACTTTGCTCCGAGGCCTCGGCCTCTATTGACTGCAGCTGTCCTGGAAAATCAGATTATAGTGCAAAACCCTGGCATCGAGTCTGCTCTGACGAGTCAGGTCTTCCATCTCCTGGCTAGATCGTCAGGATGAAGAGTGTGATGGGGAGCCGGGGTGGTAAGCCTTCACTGTGACAGCTTTTCTCTGGCCTCAGCTGTGTCAGAGTGCTGCAAATCTGGAGCTCCTTGGCATCTCCTGGGGCCTGTGACAGTTGTAGCTGTGCCCAAGGCTTTGGGGTGGGAGAAGGGGGATCTTGCCCAGGAACCACGCACAGGAGCTCCTCGCCCAGCTCCTCTCCCTTGTCCATGGTAAAAGCCATCAGAGCTCCGCTGCCCACTCCTCCTCCTCGCACCAGAGTGCTTTAAGGCAGTTGAATGGTGATTAATTGGAGAGGCAAATGCTCCCAGCGCAGCAAAGGGAAAAGCTCGTCCCTGCCCACAGCGAAAGCAACCCCTCAGCATCACCACAGCGGGCACCCGAGCTCTGGCGCTGGCACCTCAGCATCACCACGGCTGGCACCCGAGCTCTGGTGCTGGCACCTCAGCATCACCCCAGCTGGCACCCGAGCTCCAGCACTGGCCCTGGGTTTGCTGGGCTGCCTGAGCCCCGCCGTGCCAGCCATCGCCTCCCCTCTCTCTTGTGCAAGCGCTGTTACTTATTTACATCTTCACTGTCTGTCTGCCTGGCTTCTCAGCAGAGCAATTTATTTTCTGCTCCTGCTTCGATGTGCCCGTTCAAACCTCCCTTTTCAGTCAGGATGAGGCCGCACCGCTGGAAATATGTCACACGGCGAAAGACATTTATTTCAGTCGAGAGAGTCGCAGGCGCCTCAGGTGACGCTTCACATGCAGTCAGGAAGAAAGATGCCAAGTGTTGCTCGCTGAAACCAGTTGCTGAGGCGGACTGGGGTTAATGGGGGTTCCCATCTTAGCAAAACTCGGGTCCACGCTCCCTTCACCCCCCGCCGGGCTGGGGCACGGTCCGTGTCTGCCCCCGGTGACACCCCACGCCCCCCCGCGCACTGTGGCAAACCCGGAGCCGGGGGGAGCCTCAGCTGCG